CCACTGTACTATTATTACTGCCAAAGCATCCGAGAAACTGTACACCTATGCCACCTACAATGACATTTCTCCATTCCTCTTTGTGGTGTTTGATGGACCCACTGTACTATTATTACTGCCAAAGCATCCAAGAAACTGTAGACCTATGCCACCTACAATGACATTTCTCCATTCCTCTTTGTGGTGTTTGATGGACCCACTGTACTATTATTACTGCCAAAGCATCCAAGAAACTGTAGACCTCCATACTGTATGTCATCTTTGAAATATAACTCTGGCCTCCATACTTCTGTCGATTGCCTGTGTTCTTCTTAACAAAATACTAACATAAAAATATCTTTTCTTCTTCTTCTGTTTCTATAGTAATTGGATCGGCAGCATGGAGAATATAACATATATCCATTTTAAATTATTAATGCAATATGTCTGTTTCTTTAATTAATAATACAGAACAGGTTAAGCTCAGACATATGTGTTTGTTTAAGTTAATTTGTTTGATTGGTTAACCGCAAAATGTTGAGCAATGAACTATGAACTCCTACACTGCTAATGTACATGTTCTGCTTATACCATTTGCAGTACATTAACGTGTCACTCATCATGGTATGAACATCAAAATAAGTAAGTGTGAATGAGCCTTTAGTCTCTTTATATAAGTTAGGAAAACAAGGCAAACATACACCTTTTTATTCAATTTTGTAAAAGTATATTTCACTGGTTTATACATGAGATGATATGAAGTACTTTTAAACGATATTTCTGTACTCTTAACAATCATTTCATTTCCTAAAGTAACACACACTTCTTAACTGTCATTCCTTTGTAAAAAGACAGTCATTTCTACTATTCTGTAACTAAAACAACTGTATCATTACTTTCTTGACTATGTAATAATTGTTTAATAATGAGTCTTGCATAACACAAAACAATCTCTGGTAAGATGTTGAATAAAGAAGCAGAAAAGGTCTTAATTCTGATGATGTGTCAAAAACAACTCCATTTCCTAACAACCTTATCCTTTCGTTCTTTGTAGTGTGGGTTATCACATCGTTGCATTACTTATACTTACAATAACATGTCTTACATTACTACACTTTGCGAAGAGAGACAAAGATCTGTAAATTAAGTATTTGGTTATTATCTGCTATGTAACACCTTTAACTCCTTCCACAAGTTTCAGCAATAAACCATTGGCAGTTTCAAAACCAAATGCTGAATATGTCTAAAGAGGGCCCCAGTTTTATTTCTTGTTCTCCAAACAAGATTTTATTTTAAATCCAAACTCAGCATGATTACACTCGTTGGGTTTAATCAGTTCTCTTAACAATAAGAAAATGACTTCTACAAAATATATCACTTAATCATGGTAATGAATAAAATATAATCCTTGTTCTCAATTCCGATGCCTTCCCAAGCTTTCGAACAGTTATATTTTTATGTAGCCTGATAATGTACTGAGGTGGTCTTATTTGTCTAAGTTAATTATATTTAACTTTTGATGGAGAATCGATATAATATTCTTCTCCATAAAGTTCGTAAGTTGCCAAACATAGTACAGTGCATGTAATCAGGAGCACAACCAAGCACAACTGAAAGAAATGGTAGGTTAATGTATTCAGATGGACTATTAACATCATATGCTGTTTTCTTTCAGGGATTACCCCTGTATTTTCAATAATTTCATCATGTGTTCTGTCAGAAATGCCCCCCTTGTGGCTCAGAAGCAAGTTTTGCAGCTTCCAACAATAATATTTGGGTTTAGATACCCACACTGGGCACGGCAGAGATAGCCCGTTCTGTAGCTTTGTTCTTAATAACAAAAAAATGCTGTCAGCATGAATTTCGTCGCTTGATGTATCTTTCACAGCATTATTAACCAACTTCTCTAGATGATAACACCACCCACATTCATTCTAACCATAGAACATTTTCATATCCTGGTCACAGAATCCACAACTCCAAAACATTCACTTGAGGATCATCTTTGCCAAACCAAAAGCTAGCTAACAATAAAGTTTTATTGTACTTTTTGTAAAAGTAATAAAATTTGTAATAAGCCCAGTTTGAACTTCCCACATAAATTTACACACTACTTTCCTTTCTTCTAGACTAGCCATTGTTTTCTTCCCTCAAAGTAACAAAAATTGTACCTCATATTCTTCAAAACAATCACATC